ACCCTTGCAAGCCCTTTTCTGCTCATCCTGGTTAGCTGGAGAAATCCCAAATTGGGCAGTTCTGTGAATACGTCTGTGAGCGATGAGGCCCGAACACCTCTGAAGATCCCTTTGGTTATGCTGTGGGGCGCATGGGGGGTGACCCCCCTGCCTTTTGCCCCTTTGGAGGCACTCTTGGCAGCAGAGTGGCTACCCCAAGGCTGCCTCTGGTCCTGCTTGGCTGGCTGCTCAGTCAGCCCTGTGCCCAACCTCGGGGTTTGCATTCCTGCCTCCTGAGACGCTGCTGTGGCTAGAAACCTGCCCCCCCCCCCATAAGTGCTCTTCTCGAAATGCTCTGGCTCCCCAAAGGGTTCAGCCAGAGGAGATAGTGACAGCCGGCCGTTGGGCCTCTGCGCCTCCCAGGTGCCTGGTCCTGGACCACAGCTTTCTTTCTTTCTTTCTTTCTTTCTTTTTCTTTTTTCTTTCTTTCTTTCTCTCTCTCTCTCTCTCTCCCCCTTGTTTGGAGGAGATGGCCCCAACCCCTGTGCCACTTGGAGGAGGCCTCTCCTGGCAGTGCCAGCAGGACATCCGGGCATCTGCAGCATTTCTGAGGCTGGGAGAACTTGGCTGGCAGATCTCTGGGAAGCCACACACAGAGGTCCTGCTCCTGGACATGTTCCGTCTCGATTGTCTGATTAAAAAGCTTGCTCAGAGCGACTTGGTGTGGCTGAGGTTTTCTTTCTCTCTCTTCGTGGGTGGAAGCAACCGTCTTCCTCTGGTCAGCAGCATTACTTCCCTGCAGACGGGGGGGGGGGGGGCGCTGCGCATGGACACGGACACCTACATGTTTGCCTCCTTTCCTGATCAAAGGGAGCAGCTGCCCTACTTCCATTGTTCCCTGTCGGTCACGCTCTGGTCAGACTCCCTTCTGTTGGTTGCCACAAGGGGGAGCCCTTGAGGTGTCCTGTCTCCCAAAGCCACTCTGCCTGCAAAGACCCCAGTTTGGTCTCCCTGTGAAACAAATGCCCCCCCCCCATCTGCATCTGGCCACCTTTCCTCTGCTGGTTTGGCTGCCCCTCACCAAAATTCAGACGACCACCAGGGAGCCCTCTACCCATAGGCTGCAGCTGAGCAGATGGGTGCTGCACTGGCCAGGCCACTCCTGCCAGTGCTGCTCTCTGGCCAGCCCTGGGCTGAAGCCCAGAGGGGAGCCCCTGCGGTGCTTTTCTCTGGCCTCCGTTGGGGATGTGGGACTTCCTTGGGGCAGGAAGGGTCTGTGGAACCGGAGCCTGACAAGCATGCAGTGTAGCAGCTGTTTCTGGAAGGCCCAGCACGAGTCCTGGGCAGTTGCACTGTGTCCCACTCGCCCCCAGTCAGGCTTGCCCAGCGGAGGCGGCCTCTGTTCCTGGGTTCCTGATGACTGATTTGGTTTCTGGCTTCCCACAGAGAAAGGCCTCTCTGGCTGCCCGGAGCCCTTGGTCTGGTGGGACGGGAGCCCTGCGTGCCATGGAGCAGCCCACCTGCCCACCCATAAATGGCTGGCTGGGCTCGTTCTACACCGGGCGCCTTGCAGGGACTGGCTCCGGCTGACACAGCCCTGGGGCCACTCAGGAGGGGGGGAGGGCGGAGGGCGGGGGGGTTTGCAGCGCCAGGCCCTGGGGTGGCTGCACCTGCTGAGGTCAACAAAACCGGGCTCTCCTTGCCCACCGAGCTGAGCAAGCAAAGCAGGCCGCTCCAAACTGAAAGCTCATGAAATAACTCTCCCAGGACAAAGGGAGGGTGGGGGGGAGCTGACTCTGTTTGCATTATGCTTTAATCCAGCATTCTTGGTTTGGGTCACATGTTGATCAATACTGCTGGCCTGGGACTCTGCCGCCCGCTATAAATGGTGGGGCTCGGCGGCGGGTTTTCAGCGGCAGAAGCAAATTTTGGTGCAACCGGTAGGGTTCCTCCGCTTCGCTTTTTCCTGGGCTTGACGGTGCCTTTTGCGTGGGGCTCTTTCCCAACCGGGGTTGCATCCGATGGAGGAAAAAGGGCAGACTGGCGGAGCAGAGGCAGAAGAGGAAGGCGGTGGGAACCCACCTCCCTCCCCAGAACAAGGACAGAGGCTCCGCAGTGGGCAAAGGGAGGAAGCCTGGCCTCTTCCTTGGCCAAATGGCCGAGGTCCTTGGAAGCGGTAAATGAGGGATCTCTCACCTTGGCTAAATATGCCAGGATCCCTTTTCTGCTTCCCAGGATTTTACTGGGATGGGAGGAAGTGGCTTCTCTCCTTCCTTTCTTATTGCTACTTTTCCCCTTTCGCAAATGTGGCCGGCTTCCCTATCATTGGCAAGCACCTCTTGGCGAGTCTTTTGCCATCCCCCCCCTTCCCATGCCACTCCTGAGCTAGGCAAGGGCCTGGCTTCTCCCCTGGGCCAAAGAGATGCCGGAAAATGGGAAGGGTGGTAGTCCTTCTGGAGCATGTGGGGTGGACAGGGTGGGGGCTGCGTGCCACCCGTGCTGTGACTTCTCTCCCCAGGGAGCAGCCCCCTTTCACCATGGCCTTGGACCATCAGACCTCGAAACAGCTGCAAGCCACTTCAAAGGTCAGTGGGCCCATCCTTAGATGGCTACGTGTGGGTGGAGAGCAACCTGTGTGGACTGACTGAGAGGAGGAAGACGACCCCCTGCCTCAGGGACCAAGGGAGGAAGGTGCCTTCTGACCGGTGACTCCGTAGGCGGAAGCCACCTTGCTCCCCCTCCATCGGACAGGCACCGAGGCGGAGGATTCCTTCCCCTCTTGGTCCAGGGCCCCCCAAGGCTCTGACAGGCTCTCTTCCCATGCTTCCAGATCGCCCTCTTTGAGCAGGAGAACTTCCAGGGACGCTGCCAGGAGCTGAACACCCCCTGCCCCAACTTGAAGGAGGCCGGGATAGAGAAAGTCAGCTCCATCGTGGTGCATTCTGGCCCGTAAGTGCCAGGGAAGGGGGCTCGGGGGCAGGGAGGCCATTGGCCACACTGAGCCCGTGGGGCTGGTGTGGCCATGACAGGCTGGTGCACCCGTGGGTCGGTTTTCCTCTCTCACCCCAGACCCCCAAGTGTTTGAGTGGGAGGGCAACTCTGTTATCTGGGCAGCCCTGAAGCTCTAGTGGGGTTCCTTGGGGGGAGACTTCCAGCCGGGGGCTCACCGTGGTCTCTCTTTGCTCCCAGGTGGGTGGGATATGAGCAGGCCCACTTCAAAGGGGAGCAGTTCATCTTTGAGAAGGGGGAGTATCCCCGCTGGGACTCCTGGACCAGCAGCCGCAGGAGTGACAGCATCTGCGCCTTGAGGCCCATCAAAGTGGTGAGTGCCCAAAGGCAGGGGGGAGGGAGTAGCCCTTGGCCTGGCAGCCAGCCTCCCCCCCCCAAGCTTCTTGCAACGGTTTTCTGCCATGGGGCGGGATCGCAGTGGCAGCCAGGCAGAGCCACCAGAGGAGGGTAGTGGCAGCCTCAAGAAAGCTGGGAGCAGCAGCGGGAGGAGGGAGAAGGTGCCCAGAGACACACATACCCCACCCTGCCGCTTGGTCCGGGTGGGTTACAGAGAGAGCCTGAACTGGGGAGCACTTCAGGTTTGGGCCTGGGGAGCTCAGCCAAGACCCCCACCCCACTCGGCTGGGGCCCTCCCTCCGCTCCCCTCCTCCCCTGCGTCCCTGCAGGATAGCCAGGAGCACAAGATTGTCCTGTACGAGAATCCCAGCTTCAGCGGCAAGAAGATCGAAATTGTGGATGATGATGTGCCCAGCTTCCATGCCTACGGCTACCAGGAGAAGGTGTCCTCTGTGCGAGTGCAGAGCGGCACGTAAGTCTCTGGGTGGGCAGCGGGACCCTCCCTCAGGGAGCTGCCTTGGGCTTCAGGAAGGGACCAGCGAGCCGGAGAGAGGGCTCCAGGCTTGGGGCGCTGATTCTCAGGGCATTCTTGCATGAGTGGAGGATTGAGCTCCGCCTGACTCTGCCCTCCTCCCACAGGTGGGTGGGCTACCAGTACCCTGGCTACCGCGGGTACCAGTGCCTGTTTGAGAAGGGCGACTACAAGGACAACCTCGAGTTCGGAGCCCAGCAGCCTCACATCCAGTCGGTCCGGCGCATCCGAGACATGCAGTGGCACCAGCAGGGCGCCTTCTACCGCACCAGCTAAGCCCCGGGAGGGCCTCGGAGTGCCCCCCTCTGCCTCTCGGTCTTCCTCCGCCGCCCGGCCGGGCCCCCTCTCCACTCGCTGCCTCTGCTTCTGCTTCCAACCCTGAATAAAGCTTTTGTCATCTGAAACGCTCTTCCCAGTCCTCGGCTTCCGTTTCTCCTGGTGTGGCAGAAAAAGGGGCCTCCCCACCCTCGGGGTCCCTGCTGGCCCAACAGCATCCCTCCAAGAGGCCTGCACAGAGGAGCTGAGCCCAGGACCCCCCTTCCCCAATGAGGCTCCAGCCAGGTCAGCATAGGCTGCCCTTGGTTTGGAGGTGCCAGCCTGCAGTCCTCCCCCTTTCTCATCCCCTTTGAAATGGGGGGGAGGGGTCTCAGGGAAGAGGCTGGTCTCTGGGCAGCTCTGAAGGCGCCTGGCATTCCGGGTGCAGCCACTCCATCTGCCTTGACCCAGACTGGCCTTCCCAGCCACTCCAAGGGCCTCTGGAGCTTTGAAGGGGAAAAGGAGACCACCAGGCCAGGCAGACTCCAGGGAGCCTCACAGGCCTTGCTTGCCTCACACACACAGAGCGACAAAGCAGCCCAGATTCCCTCCCCCTCCCTTCCATGCCATTGGTAGGTTGGGCATTGAGTGGGGCAAATCTTTGGGGTGGCTGCCTTGGGCTGCGCAGGAAGCAGTGAGAGAAAAAGGCTGACTCAGCTGGCCATTGGCAAGCCTCTCCCCCCCTCCTCCTCACTGCCCAGCCATGTGGGACCTGATGGGATTAAGTGGTACCAGCAGACGAGAGTCCCTGGAAGGGGAATGAATGGCTCAGAGCAGTTTGCCCCCTGTCCAAATATGGCAGAAAAAATGTGAGCGCAGGAGCCAGGCATCGGGTCACTCTGCAAAATATCTAGATCCGTTTTTTAAATTCTGCACAATGGATGGAGGGAAGGTTGGGGACGATGGAGCAGAGTTGCTTTTGGCATCGTTGCTGGAGTTTTCAGTCTGGGGTGGGGAGAGAAGGGAGTGGGGGGCCGAGGCCTCACACACACCCTTTGGCTTTCCAGCCTTTTATGTTCTCTGTGCTTTGGCACATTTGGGACCCCGATTGCAGGAGGGTTGCGGAGGTGGTGGGGGTGTCATCGCTCTGGGGAAATAAAACGGGGAAAGTGCCTGTTCCTCTTGGTGGCCTCCAGCTGGAGAAAGGTCATCACTGGGAGGGAGGGATGGATTCTCAGCAGTTGTGACCTTCAGATGATACGAAGATTAGGGCAGTTCTGGGTCCTTCAGGGTGGCTTCAGTTCGGAGGCCCCGGTTGCTGGAGGAGGCTCGGTAGGAACCAGGGAAGGCTCCCGTCTCACTAGACCCTGGTTTGTCTCCCTCCCTGGAGGCCCCAAAGAAGCCGTTTCGATGGTGCCGGTGTGTGAGCGTGACATCTGAAGAACATCTGGCATCCTTTTTCCCTTTGGTTCCAGTGCACCCAAAGCCTGTAATTGAACAGTCCTGGGTGGGGAGAGGTGGTGAAAGAGCCTCAGGTCCCCTATAATTTCCCCCAGGGAGGATGGGGGGAGGGAGCACTGCAGCTGCCTGAGTGCCCACGTGGGCAGGCAAGAGAGCCTGGCAGTTTGAGCACCGTGGCTGGAGTTTTTCCCCTCCCGATGGTGGCCTTGGCAGGAGACCTTTTCTGAATCCCAGGAGAACCCTCGGAGTGCTGGAAGCATCTGGCAATCTTTGCCAGGCTACACCCGAGAGGCCCCGGCAGAGAATTGGGAGGAGGAGGGAGAATGAAGACAGCTGCAAGAGGTGGCCATGCCCCCCAGCCTTGTCTCCACAGGAAGGGATCTGCTGGGTTTTGTAACGCCAGAACAGGAGCCTCTGGAGGCCTTCGGCTGTCCCAGAAAGAAAGCCTTTGGGTCTGCAGGGAAACTGGCTCTCTACGTGAAGGAAACCCTCAACTCCCAAGGGATCTATAAGCGGCCCAGATGCCCTCCGTCCTGTGTCCCTTCCGGTCTCTTCCCAGCAGTCTCCTTCTGGCTCATTACTTACTTTTAGGGGAAAGAAAATCTGCAGAGCCAGGCTATTAGAGTGGTGGTGGTGGTGCTGCTGCTGCTGCTAATGGCCGGCTGTTTGTGGCCTTTTCCATTCCTAATTGGAGAGTCCTGTGGAGGGTTTGCAAATCAGATTGGTTAGGGAGGCTTTTCTCATAGCAAAACATGTTTCTGTAAAGGACAATCACTTGGCATATTTTTCTTAAAAACACTTGTTGATCAGGAGATGCAAAGATTGTGATAGGCCCACCTGCAAACGCACAATGAAAAATCTGAAATATTTGGCCGAGTCGGATGGGGTCTTTGATGGGCAGAGTCCCCAGTGCTGCTTGTGAGGAGGCCCCTCTCCAAAGGGGAGCTGCAGACGGGGCCCTCAGCCGCCAGCTGGCTTCTCTGTGCTGGGAGCGACAAGCCAGGGTTTATTGCAATTTATTGAAAGCCTTTGCAGGTAATCATCACAGTAATGACCCTAGCGAAGTTAAATTCCCCCCCCCAATTATCTGATACTTAAGACTTCAAAAGAGGGAGCCAGGGACGCTGCTATGGCAGGACCTTCAGCCTGAGCCTGAAATGCCCTCCAGCTGTTGGAAACATGAGGCAATTCTTTCTTCCGCACAATAAAATGAATGCAATTAGAATTGGGCTCATTGTTTTATTCAATTATTTTCAAATTCACTTACTTGAAACGGGAAACAAGGAAAATCACTCGCCTGACTGGGGTCCACGGCATTCTTTTATTCCTTCTCAATGATATTTTATTCAATGCGCCAACCAACCATGTGACCAATACCCCATTTGGTTCCTTCCATTACCTCAGGGATGCTGCTTGTCGCCCCCTGAAAGGCGGCTTCCGGGCTCCAACGGCTTGGAACACGCACATCTGCCCGTCCCCGAGAGCAGCGGGCCTCTTTAGAGGGCTTGGGGGGCAAGCGAGCCAAAGCAGCCGCTCAGCGGGTTCGGGCAACGGAGGAGGCCGGGCAGGTCGGCGAAGGCTCGCTCAGGTGCGCCTCGCGCCCGGGGCTGAAAGGGGCCGCCTGGGATCCTCCGCTCCGCCCCGCCCCTCCCGCAGCCACCCCGGGGCTCCCTCCCCGCCACCCCCCCCCGCGCTCCGCCTCGCCCGCCCGCCCGCCGCGGAGACGCAGCCCAGCGCCGCAGCTCCAAGGACGCCGCCGCCGCCGCCGCCTCCTTCCCGAGCGGTCGGGCGAGCAGGTCGCGAGCCGCCGGCGTGCAGTCGCGCGAGGAGCCGCCGCGCCGGGCCGTTGCGCCGAGGACGATGCCGGGACGGCGGGGCGCAGCCCTCCGCAGCCCCGCCGCCTAAGCCCGGTGCCGGCTGCGCTCGGCGGGGCGCCCTCCTGAGCGGCGGCGGCGGCGGCGGCGGCGGGCGATGGGGCGGGCCGGGAAGGGCGCGGGGCGGCGCGGCGGGTAGCCGGGCGGCGTTGGGTGGCCCCTGGGCCCGCGGGCCCCGCCAAGATGGCAGACCTGGAGGCGGTGTTGGCGGACGTCAGCTACCTCATGGCCATGGAGAAGAGCCGCAGCTCCCCCGCGGCCCGCGCCAGCAAGAAGCTCGCCCTGCCGGAGCCCAGGTGAGGCGGCGCGGCCAGACCGGCGGGGCCCGACCCTCTCCCCCCAGCTTCCGCCATCTTTCCCTCTGGTGCCGGCGGGGAGGGGAGGGGAGGCGGAGGGGGAGGGGAGGGCTGGCAGCCCCTTCCCCAAGTCGGAGCATCCCTCCCCCCATCCAGGCACCCTTCATTCACCCCCCCCATGAGGAGCAAAAAGGCCCTCCCAAAGAGCCCCCCCAGGCTCTGCCAGGCTTGTTGAACTGCAGTCTCCACCCCCCTCCCATATGGAACTTCCCCCCTTCACCCTGGGAGCATCTGTCCTTGAGCATTGTGCCCAAAAGGGGCTAGAATCAAGGGGGCTCCCGTGGGGGGCATGTGCCAGGTCTCCAGGTGGCACTGCACCCCCTCCCCAAAATTGGCCTGAGCAGTCTGCTGCTTTCAATCTCCCGCTGTCCCTTTGCGTGTGTCAGGGTGGATGTGGAGGTATCATTTCATTTGGGGGGGCTAAACTTGACCCCTGGCCGACTTTTCCTACTCTGGGGAATGTGGAAACAGTGGAGTGACCCCCTAATTCATGGTGGTCTTCTCCCTGACTTGGAACTCCTTTGGAGGCCTCTCTGGATCCCCGGATGGCCCCTGCCAAGTGCTGGCGGTGGAGCCGACCTCTTGCCCCAAGACCTGTTGGCGGGGTTGATCCCTCACGCTAAGCCATAATTTATGGCTCATCAGCGGTAAAGGCTGGCTTCAAACCCAACCTGTGAAGCTGAAACCCAACAAGAGGTCCTTGGGTGGTACGTGGGGCTCTGACCTTTGGGGCTCTCTTTTTACCACTGCCCCCGCCCCAGTTCTAGAGTTGGGGTCGTCCTCAGGGGAAGGGTCCTGTCTCTGGATTCCCAGCTAAGAGATCCATCCTGCATTCTTAGCCAGATTGTTGTAAATTTGGTGGCTGTTTGCTAAACCTGGCCTGACATCCGGCAACCAGGCTCCCTGCCGGAGCCCCGGCTGAGTGTCTTGGCTTTGTTCACTGCGGTGGACCAGTTTCCTCTCCCAAAGAAATCCGAATGGCCGAACTGTGGGATGAGCCTTGGAGGGCCCTTTCCTCAAGCCAGTCTCTGCGACGGAAGTGGGCTCTGTGGCTCCGGAGAATCCCTCCAGGAGCAGCAGAGGCAAAGACTGGGGGATTCTGGGAGTGAAGTCCGCACAGCTTAAAGTTGCAGAGGTTGAGAGGCGCAGCTGAATGTCTCATAGTTGACTCTCATCAAGAAATGAAAGAAGGAGGTTGAGGGGTTTTCAAAACTCCACTCAGACAAAATGTCCCATCTGTATTATTTATATTTTCTGCAGCAAGAGCGCTGGGTTGCTTTTTTTTCTTGCCAATCAGCAGAACAGGAGTTCTTCTGTGGCTTTTAAAAATAATGTCTATTAAATGAACATTCAAAGGTATGGCAGACTAGCTGTCATTTGGCCAGCGAGACCAACGGTAGGAGCAGTGGGCATTCCTTGATGGGAGTGGGGGGAGGTTCAGCTTGTCTGTGACAGCACCTGCTTGCTGGTGGGGAGGCCCCAAGAGTGGGTGCTGAGAAGGAGCCCTTCATCTGCTTAAGAATTGGGAGTCAGGATGGGTTTGGCTGAAATGTCTGCTGTAAATTTGCTTCTTTGCACTCTCTGAGAGGTGACTGGGAGGGGGGTGAGGGGGGTGCCTCTGGATGGCCTGGTGCAGCCCAGGGAAGAGTGGAGTCAGGCGCCCACTTAGGGCTCCCCTGGGGCACGTCTGGGGGGCACAAGGCACTTCTGCTTGGCTCTTGCAGGCTTAATGAGGGAGGATGCAGCCTTAATTGTCTTTGTTTCCTCCTCCTGCCTGATGCAAGGGAGGCTTAGAAGAAAGCATTCATTTAGCCTTGCAAGCTAAACAAGGGGTGGGCCATGAGTGAAAGCAGCCCTCTTCCTCTCAGGGTGTAGCTGATGGTGTTTGTGTTTGAGCAGCAGAGCTCACCCGGAATCTAATTCAAAGGAGAAAAATGGTCTCCCTCCCCGGCTTCCTAAAATCCCTGGCCCACATTTGCTCGTGCCTTTAGCTGCTGTTCCTCTGCCGCCACTCCGAATGAGGACCGGCCTTTAGGAGGCTATGGGAACGGACGTCCCTTGAGGAGGCTGTGGAAGGCCCTTCCTTCCCTGGGGAAAGCCTCCCAGGCCAGCTGGGGCTGGGGTGAGGAGTAGCCCTACAGAAGGGCAAACCGCACTTCAGGAAAGGCCCCTGTGTCTCGGGTGTCTTTTACACTAGCCGAGATGTGGCCCATTGAGCTGGCTGAGCTCTGCCTCCTGGAGCTGGGATGCCCCTTGCGATCTCCTGTTCCCACGGATGTCTTCTTTGCCCTGGCACCCATGGCGGCCTGGAGAGGGAAGTGGTGGTTTAGCGCTGGAGTGCAGGGAGGGCGGAGATGCTTTGCTCACCCTAAGAGTTTGGACCGTGGCTGCTCAGCCCTGGCACCAGTGGAGAAACCCTGGTTTAGGTGCCTCTTGCTCCTGCGATTGTGAGGCTGGCGAACACGAGATCGAACTCTGATCGACGAGTGCAGCTCCAGCAGGTGGGAAGAGACTTCAGGACAGGCAGAAGAAGGGAGCCTGCCTGTCTTCCGGCTAGGTTGCCTGTTCTGCAGCATCATTTTTAGGCTTTGTAATTTTTCGGTATGTCTCGAATGTTGTTCTCTTGATTGGATTAGGACAGGAGAGGATCCTTTGCAGACACCCCTGCAACCACACAAAGTGACTAGGGATGGCTTAATGAGGGACTCGGGGAGGGGGCTGCGGGGGTCTTGTGGCCCTGTTAGCCGTGCAGTGTTCCCCTCGCACAACCCCTGAGTCCGCCTTTACTCCTTCCAGAGACAGCCGGGAGTAATCCTTTCCTTCTTTCTGCCTTTCAGCATCCGCAGTGTCATGCAGAAGTATTTGGAGGAGAGGGGAGAGCTGACCTTTGACAAGGTCTTCAACCAGAAGATCGGTAAGTCTTGGAGTGAGTTGGGGTCCGAGGTCATGCGGGGCGATGCCCAACCGGAGTTGGAGGAGAAGCCGTGGCTCTGCTGGGATCACTGGGGAGCAGAGGCAAAGCCGAACCTCCAAGCACCTCAGAGGAGTGATGGTGCCAGTCTCCAGAGGCCTGAGCTTGCTGGGTGGCCCCCTCTCTTGCCCGCAACACGCACAGACCCTCGTGCAGCTGAGCTGCTCTACAGGCACTCTGGCTCAGCCTTTCTGCTCTGCCCAGCTGTGGCGGCTCCTTCGCCAGCCTCCCCCAGCAGGATGGCAGTGCCCAAACGGGCAACTCTGCTGCAGAGCCAGACCCTTGCCTGCCCTTTGCTGGCAGCGGCTGAAACTTCCTGGAGGGGGGAGCCTGCTGTGGGACTGTGGGGGTTTGTGTTGCACGGCCTTCCTGCGTGTGGGGGTGACAGGCGGTGCTTGCTGAGTGGTGGCTTTCTGGGGGGGGGGTTCTTCCAGCAGCTCAGTTTGTGGAACTCCCGGGAAGGCTTTGCCCTTAGAAGTGTAAACAACGCCAAACAGATGCTGAATCGGAGTGTCATGCTCGCAAAGCCAAATCTCTAAGCAGGCTTTGTGGATAATCCAGGCAATTGCTCCGGGCGCTTCTCTGTATTTACTAATCTTCAAACGGGGAGATTTTCCCCATTTCAGTCTTGTTCCAGTATGATTAGATTGAGATTGAAGAGATCCTGGCCTGGCAGTGAGACGGGACCTTGAAGCCTTTTCTGGCGCACCTGGAAAAGACGAAACCTTGATTGGTATCTTAGGTCAGGTGCTCAGATTTGAAAGTGGCCCTTGCCACGGTTTTCTATATGCCGACATTCTCTAAAGATGCTTGTTTTGGTCAGGGGAGTCACTCACGGGAGAACGATTTAAAAGTTGGCTTGGACTTTGAAATGCTTATCAAGGTTTTGGCAGCTGCTTGTTGCCGATGGTCAGAGGGTGAAAAGTGACTGGTAGTGCTTAACTTAACACCTCCCCCCCATCTTTACACTAAGAAGATAGGGGCTCTTAAAAGGATGTTTTGAAAATGTGAAACCTTTTAAAATTAGCTGCTGCTTGCTTGGCCTGGAGAAGATAATCGTTCATCTTGAAAAGGCTGAAGAAGAAGCTGCTGAGCAGATTGTGGTGGTGTTACCTTGTCGGTTGTATTGGGTAGCACCACTTGTGGATTCTGGCTAGGCCCTGTTGAAGGCAATGAGGGACAGGAGGAAGGGAGGCCAGCAACACAATAGTCGGATAACAGAGCCTTAACTAGAAGCATAATCCGAGAAAGCCAGTGAGCCTCCCTTGACTCTCTGTGGTTCTCATGCAGGTAAGAGGGAGGTGGGGGGAAGCACCTTCAGGCTTGCAAGATTCTGATGCCGCAACCTTATAAAAATGTAGCATTAGCACGCATGATGCTGGTTTCCTAGTCTGGTCTACCTTGAAGGGTTGCTAGGCAGGCAGGGACCTGTGAGCAACCCCATTTAGGAGGCCAGGTGTGGTGGCTGTAGCTGACTGGGAGCCTCTGCTGGCCTCATTGCCACGTTTTCAAAAGTTGAGTCTGTCTGTGCCTACTTGGCGGTTGGGACAACAAGGCAGAAGACACGGCCTTCTAAAAAAAGACAATGTAGAGGAAACCCGGCTGCTAAATGAAGGAAGCAGATGTGAAAATAAAATGTGTTTAAAAATAGTCCTGGCATTTTGGTAAAGGACGCTCATCGAGACTCATCTGTTGATTAATCAGCTCTCCTCCTTTCCAGACCATAGAAGGTCATAGCGGTCCAGGCAGTTCTGCCCAGTCCGTTGTTCACAAAAAGGAACCAAAGCAGGGGTGAAATCCAGCAGGTTCTGACAGGTTCTGGAGAACCGGTAGCAGAAATTTTGGGTAGTTCGGAGAACTGGCAAATACCACCTCTGGCTGGCCCCAGAGTGGGGTGCGAATGGAGATTTTGCAGTGTCCTTCTGCCACGCCCACCAAGCCACACCCACCAAGCAATACCACGCCCACCCAGCCATGCCCACAGAACCGGTCATTAAAAAATTTGGACTGTCATGATGAGCCTTGTGGTCCACCCCCTCCCCCGAGGGCCACAGGTTGCTCACCTGCAGAGGCTCACCTATGTTAGGAAAAAGGGTGGCCCATTTGAGATGACTTTTGTTTCCATATAATGTTTGTTTTATTGAATTAGCTTGTTTAATCATTGTTTTCATATTTTAGATGGGGGAGATTGCACTGTTTTCGTGTGAATTATTCCATTTATTAATATGCAGTGGATGCCTTGGGGGAGTAATCCAGAAAGACCACTTACAAACTCAGACAGGACGAATAAGCGTCCAAGGCTGGAGACCAGAAATGCTGAGGATATTTTTTATCAAAAGGGGTCGGAGTGTTTTATTGACCCCCAGTGCAGAGAAAGTCCTGAAATAGCTCAAGGATGGAGCCCGGTGTTAATGGAGGGCAGCAGATTCTGCTAATTATTCCATCCTCGCCCAGAGATATACACCTATATTGAGAAGCCTTGCCAAGAAAATGCAGTATTTTCCCCACAAATATTTGCTTTTGCTCTGCAAACAAAGCTTAGGCTGCCCCTGAATCCATCAGCAAATGTCAGACGTTGCTTCATGGGAGCTTGGCTTGTGTCCTCCTCAGTCCTTCCCCAAACGATTCTGCTCTCGGTGGCTTTGTGTCTCTGGGGCTAATCGGCCCTGTGCAAGGAAGGGGCTTGTCTGGATGACTCACCAGGCAGGGTGACTCAACCGCTTTGATGTTGTTACTGTAGTGGCTGACGTGGGGATGGAGCCGCCGTTCGGGGTGGGCTGAGGGCAACCGGAGGCCAAAGCGCCAGGGAGGCCCCTGAACTGGCATCGCGGGGAACAATTGCCCAGGAGGGATTGCCATAGGAACGGCCTCTCGCCTCTCTCCGCTTGGAAAAAGGGCGACTTGGCAGCCGGTGGAAGCTTGGAGGGCAAGCCCTGCTGTGTCCTGATCCAGGTCATCTCGGCCACAACGGCCTTTTTCCAGCCTCAGCCAGACTTTGGGGCCAGGCTGCCCAAAGGGTTTTGAGCCAGGAAGAAGCGGCAGACTCCGTTTCATTTCACCATAATAAAAATCAAATTACTCGTTGGTCATCCTCACCCTGGCCTGGCCTGGGTTGATCTCCGCCTCTTGACAATGTCCTCCTTAACGGTTGTATTAAGAGATTGGACTGAGGATCCCTGTTGGGTGGTCCTTGGGAGCTGCAGCCGCCTGTGCTTGGTGGGGGTAGGCAGGGCCCCCTCCTTGCTTCAGTCCAAGGCCAAATGCAGAGAGAGAGAAAGGCCGGGATGTGGGTTGGCATCTCTGGGACGGCTGACAGAGGTGGCACTTCAGGCTGGCATTTCAGTAGAGATGCCCTCACGAGTCTCGGTGAAGGCTTCTCTGCGATTTATTTCCATTCCGAAGGTGTGTAGGTAGCGTTTCCCCTCCTCTGATTTCCTTCTTAACATCCCGTCTCCTGCGGAGGGAAGGTGCTTCTCCTCCTCCAGTCTGTGGCTGCCTATTTGTGGCGCTGCAGCTCCTCACAAGCTCCCAGCCATCTCTGTGTCTGTCATGGCTCTGACTTCTGGGGCCATTTAGTCCCTTTCCTGGAGGGACAGACGCGGGAGATCACAGCTGGTCCCCCGGATGGGTTTTGAGGCGTCCTGCCTGGGATCAGGTCTTCTGCTTCTCTCACAACTACGACCGGGGTTTGTTTGCCTCCTAGGATTCCTGTTGTTCAGAGATTTTTGCCAGAGTGACGTCGACGAAGGCATTCCGCAGCTGAAGTTTTACGAAGAGGTGAGACGGTGCGCCCGGGAAGCTGGGTTTTTTTTTAAAAAAGTGAAGATTTAAGGAATTGGTGGAGTAATGGCACATCTAGGCACTGAGTAAATCTGATCAGAGGACTTTGTTGCAAGGAGCAGAGATCCTCCACGCTCATCTGTGCCTCCGTGAGTCACACGGCAACGTATGTTTTGAGGAGTGATTCACCCCAGCTGTCAGGTAACGGGGGGGGGATTTCTCAGGATGGCTTTCAAGATGTTGTGTAGCCTGGTCTTGAGTTCTGCAAATGCTCTCTGTGGATGGCAGCCCCCTCCGCCCCCCCTGGAAGGCTGCCGATCGAGTCCGTTCCACTGCACCCGGTGGGACCTGCTGCACCTGTGAATTGCACGACTGGCTTCCAGAGGTCCCAGGCTTAGTTCTGGAAAAGGAGCATCTGGAGGAGTGCTGGCGTTGCTTAGAGTCGGCACCCTGGAGAATGCCAAGCGCTGACCTCAAGCGCAAAGTCCTCAAGTGCAAATTTGCGGTCTGAAGGTGTAGGAAACCCTCAGGATGTGGGCATTTTAGGGCTTGGTGTGTCCTGAATGGTTGGTAGGTGGGTTCAGGCTGTCTGCAGTGCCCTCTCCGCAGAACCCAGAGGGACATGGGTTGGGAAATGCCAGGAGGGCTCTGCTGGGATGTGGGCCATTCCTCCTCAGAGGTCCTTAATTACAAGCTAAGCAATGGGGTCAGCTCCAAAGGTTCGGTGGGCAAAGACGATGCAGCCGTTCCCCAATGACTGGAATCAAGCAGCCCTTCCTTGCCCCCCCCAAAAAAGCTCCTCCTCCCCATCTCTGCGTAGCCACAGACCTGATGCAAACACCGACCGGACTTTTCCATGGAAACTGATTAGAGGAATAAGCAGATGGAGCTGAGTCCGTTTTAAGCTAAGAGGCTTGATGGTCACTTGAGAGCCTCCGGCCTGTCCTCCAGAGCAAGGAGAGCTTCTAGGGTGTTCCCAAAATAGTCCAGGGCGGGTCAGAAAGGGCGGCATCATTTGGCGGGGGGGGTGTCTGGCCAGACTAGCAGATCTCTGGCTGTCTGGAGGAAGAGCGTGAAAAGGTTCTTTGCGAAGGCAGCCTTTGGCCGCTCAGCTGATTATGGCCCCAGAGAGACCGGCCCTTTTAGGGTTCAGGATGTGCACCCTCCAGTCCTGCAAAACGATTCTCCAGCCCGGAGCCCAAGCACAGCAGAGTGCAGCTCTGGGGTCCGCTGGGTTAACCCCCCTTCCTTCCCTCCCTCCCTCCCTTCCTTTCAAGGAGATTTCATTCTTGAAACTCATTTTCCAAAGACGTCTCCCATCCCCCGGCTTTTCACTCCCAATCTGCAGCCCTCCCAGGGGGACCCAGAAGCGCTCCCCACCTGTGGTCAAGAAGGGGCCTTGGGAAAAGCCTGGCCTTGACCCCTTAGCCCTGTTGGGTCTTGCAGATCAAAGAGTACGAGAAACTGGACTCCGAGGAGGATCGACTCATCAGGAGCCGCCAAATCTACGATGCCTTCATCATGAAGGAGCTGCTGTCCTGCTCCCATGTGCGTATGGGCAGCTGGGCACAGGGAGGTCTGCCTCCTTGGTCCCTGGGGGAATCCGCTTGGCTTGGGGTGGTTGGGACTGAAGAGAGGCGCCCCAGTCGCGCTGCAAATGTTCTCAAGTGTTTTCTGTCCCCCCAAATAGCTGGATGAATAAATACGAGCCTTTTCCCTGCAGCCCTTTTCAAAACAAGCCGTCAGCCATGTGCAGACCCGCCTGGCCAAGAAGCAGGTCCCGATAACCCTTTTCCAGGTGAATGTGAGATTTGCTTAATGACCATTGTGATAAATCCCTGGGCCAAAGTGACTCACTGGGCAGAAAGCGAGGAACGGTTAAGATTTGGTTCCAGAAGAGAGGTGGACTCAAAGTCTAGATCAGCGTTTCCCAATTTGATAGTCTTAAAATGTATTGAATTCTGAAGCCCATCATCCTCAGCCAGTACAGACATAGCCCCAAGGGATTCCCCAGATTGGGGAAAGTTGATTTTAATCTTGGGTTTGTGGTATGGAAGCCAGTGTGGTTTGGATAGTTGCAATATTCTTGGCTTTCCCCCCCCCCATAGCCCTACTTAGAAGAAATCTGTGACAGCTTGCGAGGAAGCATCTTCCAGCTGTTTCTGGAAAGGTAGGGCTTGGGGGGTGTCTTCCTTCTCTGCAGCCCCCTTCCCCCATGGCCCTTGGAGGTCTCTGCAGGATCAGCTCAGGAAGGAGGAAATGGCCGCTGGGGATGAGATGCTTTGCGTGTTGTGGGAGGGTGTAAGATGTAGCTCAGCTGGGGGAATCTCAGTGGACCTTCTCCAATGTGGGGCCCTTCCAGAAATCTGGGGGCTACTTGCACCCCAGTCGTTTTGTGCAAAATGAACAACCGTAACCGTTGTGTTGTACTGGGGAGGTTCTACAAAGAGACTTTTCAGAAATAAGCACTCTCTTGTTTTTTAATTAAAAACAAGGCTGTTGAGTTTTCTGAATTACAGTGTTCGGTTTTTTCCCCCCTCAGGAGTTATTTCAGCACTTTTTAAAATGCATTTCAAATAGAATCTTAGGGGATTAGGAAATATGGAAGCTTGATGTTATTTTGGCAGCGGTTTTTACTGGAACCTCTCCTGCCTTTTAGAAGAAGAAGCATAAGCAACTCTTGCTAAAGCTCTGATTTTAGGAAAAAACAGCTGATCAAGAGACCTTCATAAACTCAGAAACTCATCTTAGGAGAAAGTTTTGTTTTTATTGTGGTTGTGGACTATAACTTTTCCCCCCCTTTCTTATTTCCAGTGATAAGTTTACAAGATATTGCCAGTGGAAAAATGTAGAGCTGAACATTCACGTAAGTATTTTCTGACCTTTGAGGTGTGTTCCTGGCATTTTGCTGGATGTTCTGTGCAGGTGTATAAAATCAGGGATGGGCAGAGTCGTCGCTGAGGGTTGTATAAACAACATCTACTTTAGGGGGGCTCAATGTGATCCAGAAATATTTATTAGCCAAGTACTAATTTGGGGTGACCCCACAGAGTTCAATTGGCCTTAAGTGTTCCACATGTAATTGTGCTTTGCAATGTTTTAATGTCCCTGTGAAGTTGAGCAGCTCAGGGGGTTGAATGGTTCTACGTTGTCCCCCTCTCCTCCCCACAGCTGACCATGAATGACTTCAGTGTCCATCGGATTATCGGGAGAGGCGGCTTTGGAGAAGTCTACGGCTGCCGTAAAGCGGACACAGGGAAAATGTCAGTTGCATTGCCTGCGTGTATGATGAGAGAAACGTGTATTGTCCCAGACCAAACCATTAAAAATCGGAGGGGTTGGGGGGTTACTGCCTTATGCGTTTAATCCCCCCCAGGAAGATTTTCTCTTTGAAAGGACATCTTCCCTTCTTGTTTGAGTTGTGCTTCAAGTGTGGCCCATATGTTTTTTTCCCAGTTTTTACACTGAAAGCCTGAAAAGGCAACCGGTTGCTTAACTGTGGGAAGGCTGGTTGCTCTGGAGCTGCCCGCATGGACTCACTCCTTGCAGTCAGCAGCCAGAAGCTTTGTGAGCAGGAGCCCTGTGAAGGGCACGGGGGCTATGCGCAGCTTCTGGGGAGCTCCCTTGGGCACGGCCACTGGTCAGGATAAGGCAGCCCGAACTCTGAATGGAGAACACGGTTGCTGTGCCTGAGAAGAAATCCCCGGCTTTATTCCTTTTAATTCATAAACCAGCAAATCGCAGAGCGAGTCCTGGGAGGCACCTGGGAGCAAGCGAGGATGCAGCGCTGCCCTTTTGGTTAGAAGGGAGGCCTTTGTGGCCTGGGGTGGCCTTAGCCTCTCTGTGCCACTTTTTAGGTACGCCATGAAATGTTTGGATAAGAAGCGGATCAAGATGAAGCAGGGGGAAACCTTGGCCTTGAATGAACGCATCATGCTCTCCCTCGTCAGCACCGGGGTGAGTTGCAGTGCGGGGGAAAAGGGGGGGAGGCGCTTTCTTACCCACGGTGGCTGATCCGCAGTGGACCTGTGTGGACGTACCAAGGGCTCTTGTGGAAAAGCTGCAGCCTCTTTGGAGCAGTTGGCAGGAGAACATCTGAAGATCTTCTGCAGGAATCCTGGGAGATGGTGGAGCTAGAACGCCGCCATTGGGGCCCCGGTTTGGTCAATCCATCTGGAGCTGGGCAGGCATGTCGAGAGGCAGGGAGAAAAAAATGGCAGGGGTCTTCCTCTCAAGGCCGCCCGGCCAGTCCGTCTCCTTCCATGCCCGGCTAAGGGCCTCTATCCTAGTGGGTGGGTGGCGGTCCATTGTGCCTGGGGTCCTGTGAATGGCTGCTGGATTCCCCTGCCTCTTTCAGGCCAGCCGTTCTCCCTGAGAAGGCGCAGATCTCTTGAGGTATGGGGGGGCTCTTTGCATTGTGCCAATTTCTGTCTTCCCCCCACCTTCCAAGGACTGTCCTTTCATTGTGTGCATGACGTACGCCTTCCACACGCCTGACAAGCTGTGCTTCATTCTGGACTTGATGAATGGTAAATGAGTGGGGGGGAGGTTTCTGCCTCGGTCTGCTGCAGGCCACCAAGGGGTGCGTGTGTCTCTTGGATGCGCGCAGAGAAGAAGGGCCAGGGCACAGAGGATGCCACCGCAGGGCCTCTCCGTGGTGGTCCGTGAAGGCCGTCCCAAGGACTCCAGCAGGGCAGGGACACAAGACAGCTTGAATCCGGGATTTTCCGCCCAGAGAGCAGCTGCTGAGGTTGGACCTTCTTGGCCTTAGGTGGAGACTTGCACTACCACCTCTCCCAGCACGGGGTCTTTTCGGAGAAGGAGATGCGCTTCTACGCCACCGAGATCATCCTTGGGCTGGAACACATGCATAGCCGCTCCGTGGTCTACCGGGACCTGAAGGTAACTCCTGCCGGGAGGTCGCCAGGGGGGCCGAGGCAGGGCACTGGGGGCTTTGCAGAATGCCTCCTGTGACCAGCATCGTGTCCCCGAAGAGGGCTCGTCCCGGGCACCCCTCGTTACGGCCAAAACGGAAGTGGGAAGAAAGCGGCAGGATTGTGTTGGAAGCGGCGGCTGTGACGGTGTCTCCACAGGCCCCGTTTGCCAAGGGAGCTCTCTTTGGAGCCAGTGCTGGTTAGTAGCAAAGGCTGCCAGGTTCTGGGGCTTTACAGACCCTCTTCTTGAACCGGAGCTTCGTCCATCTCCCCTCGGGATGTCCCAGCGAAGGCTCCTCCGCGTCTGCCCTTGTCCTTGTCCGGCTACTGCACCTGGCTGCTTGCCTCCCAGAGTCACAGGTGCCTCCTGGTTTCTCTCTAGCCAGCAAACATCCTTCTGGATGAACATGGCCACGTGCGGATCTCCGACCTGGGCCTGGCTTGTGATTTCTCCAAGAAGAAGCCCCACGCCAGCGTGTAAGTGGGGACGCAACACCCGCGTGTGACGTGCTGTGCAGGGGAAGCCCGCCAATGCTTCCCCATGGCTTAGACCGAGCCCTGAGTTCAGCTGACCCCCTCAGCAGCTGCCCCTGGGCCCTTTCTGTGGGCCATGCCAGAGTTGGAGCCTGGGGCCCTTTGGTTAAGGAAGGAGGCCACTCCCCCTGTTCTGCTCCGAGGGGTCGGCCCAAGCCTTGCCCGGCCCGCCGAGTAGTGGCCTTGGTCTCTTCTGCCGACCCCTCCCGTGTTTGCATCCCTTTTCCAGTGGGACTCATGGCTACATGGCTCCAGAGGTGCTGCAGAAGGGAACGGCCTACGACAGCACGGCCGACTGGTTCTCCCTGGGCTGCATGCTGTTCAAGCTTCTCAGAGGGTGAGTCCGGCCCCCTCGGGCTGGCTGAGCCTTCTCGGGTGGGATGTTGTGGTGAGGCAGGAGAGGACGTAACCTGGGTTTATGACTGGCTAAAGATACATTTCTTGGAAGGGAGGAAAGTTACTGTTGAGTCCTCCAGGAGACGAGTAGCTCCGTGTTAATGTATAAGATTCATCATTTTCCCCCTCTGCCCTGCTGAATCCCTGTGTGTGCCTCCTCCTCCTCCTCCTCCTCCTCCTCCTCCTCCTCCTCCTCCTCCTCCTCCTCCTCCTCCCTCTCCCTGCAGGCACAGCCCTTTCAGACAACACAAAACCAAAGACAAGCACGAGATTGACCGCATGACGCTCACCGTGGTAAGTGGGCTCGCAGGGAAGTCGCCTCGTACGTTCCGTGTGTGGCCTGCTCAGCGGTTTCACCCAGCAGCTTTAAAGACGGGAACAAAATAAGCCAGCAGCAAGATGCAGTTCACTCCATTGTATTCTGGGGCTCCAAAGCTTTTCCTCCAAGGAAATCCAGATAAAGCCACGGGCTCCACCCTGGATGTGCTGCAGCTTCAGTTCTCCCACCTTGGGGAAGGGGCTTTGGAGGGGGGAGTTCGACCCTGGAAGCCTTGCGGTGCACTCCGGGCTCCACTGTTGCGCTCGGGAGATCCGCGTCGCAGGGGAGGTTCGGGTCCCAGAGCGTCTCTGCTTTCTTCCCAGAATGTGGAGCTGCCAGATTCCTTTTCCCCCGAACTCAAGTCTCTCCTGGAGGGGCTTCTCCAGCGGGATGTCACGAAGCGGCTCGGCTGCCAAGGTGGTGGGTGAGTCCCCACTGGACAAGTGGAGGAACAAGGACTGTGGGAGTCCAGTTGCCTGCCTGTCCTGTCAGGTGGATCCTGGCACTGCGATTGGATTGGATTGGATTGGATTGAAGAGATCCATTTTTCCCACTGCCGGGCTGAATGCGGCCATTCAGGGTAGGAGATGGGGCAGCTGTGAGGCTTTGGGGCTATGAAGCTCAGTTTGCGTTTGTGCTTCATCCCGCAGTGCCCAGGAGGTCAAGACTCATCCTTTCTTTCAAGGAATTGACTGGCAGCACGTTTACCTGCAAAAGGTGAGCCCAGCGGTGGCCCTTCAGTGTCAGGTACCCCGTTACCCGAGATCCTGAATGAACACTTTCCTGGTCCCTGATTGCCGAATCTGAGCCCGATTGCTAAGACCTGGTTTATGTTGGAGCTTCCGATGCCAAATAGATAAAGGCCCGGATTTTCCTTTGTAACTCTGCTCTCCTTGCTTTGCCAGTACTCCCCGCCCCTGATCCCCCCCAGGGGAGAAGTCAACGCAGCAGATGCTTTCGACATTGGCTCCTTCGACGAAGAGGACACAAAGGGAATCAAGGTGGGCAGGGGGCGGCCCCCTTCTGCAGGTCTCCGCAGCCTGTCTGGGGGCGTCTCATAAAGGATAAGGCTGGTACGGCATTGGGCATCCGCTACTACCTCAGGCTTACGTGGTGGAATGAAGACTGTTTAAGGCCAGGGGGCCTCTTGAGGGCTGGCGTGCCGGTTTGCTCCTCGATGTACTGCGGACGAGCTGCGTGTCGCTTGCAAACCAGGGGATGGTTCTGGAAGCGAATCCTTCCTCTTCTCTCCCTGCCAGCTGCTGGATTGCGACCAAGAGCTCTACAAGAACTTTCCCCTGGTGATTTCTGAGCGCTGGCAGCAGGAAGTGGCCGAAACAGTGTTCGAGGCGGTGAATACCGACACGGACAAGGTGGAGCTGCGGAAGCGAGCGAAGAACAAGCAGCTGGGCCATGAGGAAGGTACCCCTCGGCTCGGCTGCCCCAAGGACCAGGCTGCCACTCTCCATGGGCAGGGAGGGCCACTGAACTGCCTCCTGCCCAGGAATGGAGCTCTTTCCCAGGAATGACAAAACTGTAACTGCTGGGCTTCTTGGCCAGTTGTGCGTTCCTTAAGAAGTGTATGCCCAGCCTTGGCAGTGGTTCTCTCACTGGGCAGTGTCTGGCACCCCCGCCTCAACTCAGGGTCAGCCCATCCCAGCCATGCCAGCTGTGGGGGTTGTCCTGAAGGGAACCCTTCTGTCTTCCCCACTCATGGCAGCTTCCCTTCCCCCCCCCGCCAGATTACGCTCTGGGGAAGGACTGCATTATGCACGGCTACATGCTGAAGCTGGGGAACCCCTTCCTGACGCAGTGGCAGCGGCGCTACTTCTACCTCTTCCCCAACCGGCTGGAATGGCGAGGAGAAGGAGAGTCCCGGGTGAGTGGCCCCCCACCCCCCGCCTCCCCCTGCCTGCCCTGCCTGCCCCCAGGCTGGGCAACCTCTGGATTCCTTTCGCCCCTTAGCAAAACCTGCTGACGATGGAACAGATCCTGTCGGTGGAGGAAACGCAGGTCAAGGATAAAAGGTGCATCCTGCTCCGAATTAAAGGAGGGAAGCAATTTGTCCTGCAGTGCGAGGTAACTGGGGTGGGGAGGGGGGTTTATTCCTTGGGAGGAGCTTTGGGGCTCTTACGCCATCAGGAGGTTGAGCTGCTGAGACAGTGACACCGTTTCCTTCCCTCGCCTGACCTCTCAGCCTTGTTAGCCAAAGAGCAAGTTGGGTTTGTTGGAGAAGAGCCACAGTTTGGGGTGGAGGCAGCATCCGATGGTTTGCGCGGCAGAATTGGTGGGTTCGCTCTGTCCTGGGGGAGCCAATCCTCCTGGGGGCTGAGTGTCGACGATCTCTCTGGTGGGAGCTGAAGCCTCCTCTGCTTCCCCCTAGAGTGACCCTGAGTTCGTGCAGTGGAAGAAAGAGCTGACGGACGCCTTCACGGAGGCCCAGAAGCTGCTGCGAAGGGCCCCCAAGTTCCTAAACAAGTCCCGTTCTGCGGGGGTGGAGCTCACCAAGCCCCCCCTGAGCCATAGGAACAGCAATGGCCTGTAGCGGCTGGTGGGGAGGAGACCGGCTGGTGAGCCCTGCTGCCCCAGAGCCGGGTCCTGCAAAGGGCAGGGGCCAGGCAGGGAGAAGCGTAAGGGGCATGCGCTCGGCCAGGCGATGTGGCCCAAGGGAGATGCTGCTGCCCGGCCTGGAGGAGCCCAGCCATCTGGCCCTGGCATCGTGGACGGCTCCCGCCTGCTTCGTGTTTCGGCCTGGGCCAGGGATGGCGCTCTGGACCTTTGGGGCACAGTAGTGCTTCCCTGGCTGCGTCCATCTGGCCGAAGAGACCTCTGGGCCTCCCTGGGGCCCTTCACACACAACGATCAACTGAACTCGACATGTTTTCTGTGGCTTCCAGTTTTCTGCTGCTGCTGCTGCTGCTGCTGCTGCTGCTGCTGCTGCTGCTTCTTTTCGGCAAAAGTGACTCTGGACTCTCGTTCCGTCTCCCTCACCGGCTGCTCTGCCCGTCCTGCCAGTGTCTGCCGTGGGCTCTGCTTCTCTGACCTTGGCTTGGACTGGTGCAAGTAGAAGTAGAAGCTGGGGAGATTCGGTGATTGTTCTGCACTTGTGTGCGTGTGTTTGTCTGCCTGTCTTCCTCTTCTCACACCACTGTTGCCAGGGAGAGCCACAGGATGAATGCCACGGTGACTCCTGACTTGGTGGCACTTTTAAAAAACACTTTAAACGAATCCAGTAACTAGAGGTGGAGCATGTGAACACTGGACTGAGCCTGCAGGCAGCTAGGTGGCCTGGCTCAACTCTCCTGCGGTTTCAGGGTCTGTCCTCCTGATGCGTCCGTCCCCTCGCAGCTTGGTCTTGGGAGCCTGGGGTCTATTAAGGAAGGGGCTCAGAGCAGCTTGCATTGGCAAGCCCAAGGACCCTTCCTCTCCTTGGGAAGGCAAACTTGGAACTCCCTTCAGCAGGGTGCAGTTGGTAGCTGTGTACACCTAGCTGCTCGCTTGTGGCAATTGTGAAAGTTTAAAAAAAGTTGTTCTTGCAAGGGGCCACCAGAGAGACCCCGAACTCTAGAATTGCCACATGGTTTGAGGGTGAATTGGCTGGTGTGATGGCACCATGCCAGCTCTCATCCCCCTCCCCCCCTCCACTTTTGCTTGGGTTTAGTGGAAGTTTGTAGTTCTAAATCCCTCTTTATACCAGATGGGATTGGAAAATGCTTTCCAGGGGCCTCTGCAACACCCCTATTGCATGTGTGCGTCTGCTGGCCCTGAGCAACAGAGCCACCGGCCTCCCCTGCTCTTCTGTGTCCTGGAGGGGCTGCAAAGGAACGGGGCGGCGGGGGAGGGGGGCGGGATGATGAAGCAGGGGCCAGAGGGAAACCAGCTTTTCTTTGCCTCTCGTGGTCACTTCAGGCACCGGAGAGCCCTTCAGTTGAAGAGCTGGGCTGTGTTTAAAAGCTGAAGGCTCTTTGTGAGTTTGTATTTTTAAACAAAACTGACATTACAGTGTTTGTTCAAGAACAGGAGGGGCCCCCTTTGGTCATCAGCTCCGTGTCGGTCCAGCTGGCCAGGAGTTTGGCAGTTCGGCTCCCTCGATTCCTTCCTTCCGCCAGAGAGGGTCTGTCAGGTGGTGCTTTCAGGATGCGTTGTCGCTGGGTTTTAGCCACATTTCAAGGGTGGTTTTTCTCCCCCAGAGAGTTTTGTCAGGCGGAAGAGGCGAGTTGGTTGCTTTTAAGGGCCTGGGGAGAACCGGAAAAGGCTGTGCTGTGCTGCTGAAGGCCCTCATCTCAGGGTGGCCCAGATTAAGCCGTTGTTCAGATTAGCCTAGATATTTTAGGGGTGCGTGTGTCTGTGTCTGAGTGTGTGTGTGTTCATTCCAGAGGCAGCTGAGAGAGAGAGGTGATCAAGCTATGGAGCTTCAGAGCTGTTACCCTCCAGGTTGTCTGAGAAGTTTGTGTTTTGGGTGAAAATCCCAGTTCGGCTGCTGCATATTCACTCTAAGCCATTTCATTTTCCCCGATGCACCGTGGGTGACGGGGTGTCTGGTTGCATTTAAAACCCCAGGAGGTTGGGCAAGAATTCCTCCTCCTTTCATAGCTGTTAAATAACAGCGAGGGGCCTCATAGAGGCATGCTTGATCAATTATTATAATAATACGAATTATTATCAACTTACTAATGCTAATTAGTAAAGAAAGCATTTCCTTAGGGCATTTGATTGGTGGAAGATGGGAAATAAGTTCTGAAAATTGCAATTTACAGTTTTCCCCCCTTTGGCAACGCGCTGCTATATTAGAGATCTGTTTTAGAGCACCTTAACCATCTTGAATTACGATATACGCATACTCTCTTCGAACTCTGCTGTAGAGAGAGAAGAACTTCTAGTTAAAAACAGCTAAGAAATGTTGGGACGATATACATTTTTGGAGATCTTAAGATTACATTGCTTACTTTCAGTATTACACAAAATGGGAGAAATATATCTAAAAACACTGAAAAATGTATGCATATCCAAAAGATCATAGAAATTTTTTGTGCCTGCTGTTATATTCCATGATGTAAATATTACGTGGTTTAGCACTACTGAATATTAGAGCATCTAATAATTTGTTATTTTTTTAAAGTGTTAAACTAATAATCAAAGTTTTATTTTGGTACAACATTAAGTTACTTTTATCTTCAGAAATATTTTTAAAAATCTGAGAATTATGTTTTAACTAAAAGGCATTTTCATGTTATTTATTTTTAAGTCTGGACACCTTGGTTTATTTAATTCCCTGTACAATTTTTTCTTCATCTTCTGTACGTTATTTAAATAATAAGGATCCTTTTCCAGTTGGGTTCAATAACTTTTTATTACAGTTTTCATAAACTTGCTTTCAAGCTGGATTTCCTTTGTCCAACCATCCCCAATAAAACAAGTTCAGAGAAAAAGCACCCTTCTCGTTTTCCCCTCCTCTGGCTTCAGGTGTCATGTGAACACACGGGCCTTTTCACAAGTGGGGCCGTGTCCCAGATTGTGGCGTTGGTACTTAGCCTGCAGATTTGCCAGGCTGGGCAGATTGGCTCTTGAATGCCAGTCTGCAGAACCAAGCCTTGGCAGGGTCACATCTGGCCTTCAGGGAGAAGTGAGAGGCAACTGCCTTCCATGCTGCTATGGAGAAGATGCGATGGAGATCTCATGAAGTCCTTAGGAGGGCAGCTCAGCTGGTGCAGTCAGAAATTCCGCTTCTGTGATTCTTATCAAAGCAAAATTGCCAGAGGACAGAAAAGAAAGGACTTTGCAGCTCCAGGCCTGCGGATTGGATAGTAATTCCCAGCCTGCCTTTGAACATCTTGTAGTAGAGCCTCTTCCCGTCTTGAACCAACTAAAGACGATCCAGTTTGTCTATTTTTCAGCAATTCTGCCGTGTGCGTTTAAGCATGATGGAGCGTTGGTATTTGGGGCTGCGTCCCTTTCCTTGACCAGGTGAGGAAAAGAGTTCCATCTTGAGGTGAACAGGATCAGGAGGTTCCTGGCTTCAGATGGTTGCCTGCTTAAGGTAGAAAAGAGCCCTGGAGAGTTTTACGTAAGTTTCTCTTCACCCAAAAGTTCATATCTGCTGCCATCTATTGGATATTTTTTTTAAAAAAAAATCACATTTTCACATGAAAATGAGTGAGGATGGGAACCTTAGAGGACTGAGAGCATAATGACCACCCGCAAAGTCCCCTTGTGGCATTTGCCTGCAGATGTCCTTGATGAGGAAGGCTCCTCCCCCAGGGTCTTCTATGGGGCTATTGAAGTTTGCCCCTGTGAGATTAGGAGACGGTTGCCAGTTTCCTATTGCTGCCCTCCGTAGGCCATCTTCTGTGCGATTCATCCCATCGGGGACGCCTGGCTGGCCATTCTGGGACATTGGAGATGACACCAGGAGGCCTTTGGCCTGATCCACCAGGGTTGCTCTTGTTCCCATCAGAGATTCAGGCCATTTGCTTAGTTTGGTCTTTTTCAGTAGCCGAGTCACAGATCCTTGGTCCTTTTGAACCAGGTCCTGACGTTGAGCAATGTCCCGATTGTGAGCATGACGCTTTGAATGGAGGGACAGCAGCTGGTAGCCAGTTGCGCTGTTGGATCGGCTCCCCCCAAATTCTTCAGACATTCCTCCCCAAAAGCAAGTGACGGCTTAGTTTTTCAAGGTATCCAGTGACCACAGATGTTCTCTGAAACATTATCCCCCAGAGCTCTTTGGAGCTTAAAGAAGAGAGGAAATGTTTTTGTAAATTGGAAGACTAGAAGAAGGAACTTCTTGAACAGCCCCCTTTAGGAGACCTCAGCCCATCATCCTTTCCTTCTGAAAGGAAAGTTGAGCATTTTCAAGACCGTATTTATATTTTTGTGGTACAAGAGACTTGCTGGCATTTCTGGCACCGGAAGGGGGTGGCTTTTGTGCCCACGGCGGGGCTGTTTCTAAGCTGGGCTATCGGTTTACCCTAGACGAAGATCTCAAGGTGTGAGTGGCCGCGTTGGGCATGGTGGAAGAGTTGATGCCAGATGGACAGCAGAAGCGGCACAGAGGCTCCCGGGAACCCGTGGATCAATGTCTTGATCTTCCACGTAAGTCATCCTTATTTCTAAGATTAGGCTTGTTTTTAACAGTAATGACAGCCATCGTCTTCAGACTCATCATGAGCCGAGGTGGCGCAGTGGTTAGAGTGCAGTACTGCAGCTACTTCAGCTGACTGCTAGTTCAGCAGATCAGCGGATCAAATCTCACAGGCTCAAGGTTGACTCAGCCTTCCATCCTTCCGAGGTGGGTAAAATGAGGGCCCAGATTGTTGGGGGCAATATGCTAATGCCAATGCAATATGCTAATATGCTATATGCTAACTTTGTAAACCGCTTAGAGAGGGCTGTAAAGCACTATGAAGCGGTATAGAAGTCTAAACAATAATAATAATCATAATTACGATAGACGGTGAGCTGTGTTACAGGTTAAGGCCTTCAAACCAAACTTTGTTATGTGCACAAGGGGCGTGACCAGTCAAAAGTCTGGCAACCACAGACCGTTTGCTTGGCAGAGGCACCCAACTTCTCTGGCCCAGCAGAAGTGGGCAAAGCCATATTACTTACTCCAGGGTGGGCAGTGCTGGTCAGGGTCAGGATCTCCCTTGGAAAAGCAAGGGAGGGTGGGTGGGCGGGTGTCGATTGGGCTCTACCAGCTGACGGCCAAAGGGGGAGAGACTTGGAAAGGGATCCAGGGATGCTCTTGCCCTGGACTAACCAAGACTTCTGGGTAGATAAGAAATGAAAATTATATAATAAAAATTTTATAAGAAATAAAAATTATTCTTAGTAGATGGATCTGGAACAGCCCTTGGCAAAACCGGAATAGTCACTTCCCACAATGCTCTTAGCGAAAATAAGCTACTTCTTGGGAGTGAGATCTAGAAGTGGTGGTGGTGGGTGATACTATTTAACGTAATGGATTGTGGTTAATTATGACCCTTGACTTGCTGGCTGGGGAATAGCCCCTCTCACCTCAGCCTGGGTGACTGAATTCAGAGTCCAAAGCCACCTTTGCGCCCTTGTTTTCCTGGATGGGTGCCCCAGGCCATACGTGCAGGTGCTGGCCCCCAGAGTGTGCCCAAGGGAGAGGGCACCAGTCCTCCCTTCCCTGTCCAGCTGGTTGGCAGGGTGCCTCTGTCTCAGGCAGGCAGCCTGACACCCGGGTGTATTTTTAGCCATGACATGGCCTCCTGTTCAGCTGCTGGCTCTCATCTAGGGTGGGTGGAAGGGGAGGGGTCCTCTTAGCCACTTCTCCCGCCCTCCTCCTCCTCCTCCTCCGTTTTTTTCTGCCTGGTGGGAACCTGTAGCTGCTGCTGAGCCTGGGGCTGTTTGTGTAGGAAGCTGCTCATCTGTGGTCAGCCAGGTGGTTGATAGAAAAGGTAGGCGACTTGTGTGGCTGCGTGTGGGGGGGGGGTGGCAAGCTGGGGAGAAGGTCTGGGGTGGACCCTGCCTTGGCCTCCCAAATGCCGGCCTGAGGGTCAGCAGGTGGCTATTTTTAGCAAGGCTCAAAGAACAGCCTGCGGGAACGTTAAAGAGCAATGGCTGAGCAGGGCCTTCCTTCAGCCTAGCTCAGCTGGGAAGAAGGTCCCATCCTGGCCTCCTTTCTTCCTGGATGATTGTCCACCAGAAGTGGACAGGGCTTCTTCTTCTCTTTAGTCCTCAATCCCCGAGGAAAACGGGGCGACCCAGCCCAGGAGGGGCAAGACCCAGAGACACTCCTGGGAAAGCCGTCCCAGGAGACCCCCCACTCCCCACCCCAGCTCAGACACTGGGGAAACACAAGGGGGACTGTTCTTGAAAGTCTGAACGCTGGAGGGGGGGTGGGAAGGATTATTGTGTGTTTCTGAAGATGTTTAACCTTTTTCCTGTCAATCCGGAGAGGCCTCCAGGTCCTTCAGCGGCTGATCCCAGTTTGGCCTTGGGAGATGATGTGGGCGGCTGGATTAGAAATCCAGCACCGTGGAATCTTAAGTGTCCAAACTTGGTTTTCCTTTGAAAGGCTGCTTTAACAGGCTTTCCGTGTTTCATGGAAAAATCCTGAGGATGTGGGTGCCCCTCTGTTATAGAAAGGAGCCTTTCTCTACCCCGAATCTGGAGAAGCCAGAATCCAAAAGGTGACAGGCGCAGTGATTGTGACTGTGTATAAAAAGAACACAGGAAAGAAGTGGGGGGGGGAGCTCACGGAGGGAACAGTGCCAGGTCTCGTAGCGGGCATGGATGGTGCCAGAGTTGGGCTTCCTTGAAGGCTTTCGGGATTTCTAGCACTAGCGTTTGACCAGCCACCATGTTTTGCCTGGGTGATTGTTTTCTTTGCTTTCTCCCGTGTGGCAGGAACCCGCAATCAGTGTCCACATCTTGCATCCCTCTGGGGAGGGGGCTGACCTGCAGTGCCAGGGAGCTTCTCGCTGGGCTCCTTCCAGGCTGGGAAGGAGGGGGGGGCTCTTCGCCCACCCAAGGCCCAGATTCAGGAATTGAGCGGCCGAGCTGGGAAAAGGCAATCCACGCAAATGGCGGAAGTCCATGCTTAAAAATATTTTCCCCCTTTTCAGTTACTTGCTGTCCCTCCCAGAAAATGGATTTCCAGTTGCTTCCCAGTTGTCAGCAGTGACCAGACAGAGGCTGGCTGTCTCCTCTATAGGTTCCTCCCACCAGAATTGCCTTGTTTGGAAACCGTCTTTTCCTCCTGTCACCAAAGTGTGATTAGATCTTGTCAGTGGGTGGGGGGGTCCTTTGTTTTGAACTGATACAGACTCCCGGTTCATGAAATGAAATAATCCAAGACCCTGTTTTGCTCCCCACGAGTGCCTTCTCATGAGCCAGATTGCCAAATACTTCGGGGGGGGGTGCGTGTTAATTTTGTTGCCGTGTTTTCTGTAAAGATAGAAAATGGGTTAATCTAAAAACCAAGTGAGGCCTTTTGTATCAATACAGTCTGTGTGTGGCAGATTCATGCCGTGCCCCGTGCCGATCTCCTTAGGGTGTTTGATGAAATTAGGGCTTGGAGTGTAAACCAGGATTGTGTAAGTCCAGGTGCTGTGTGATAGCAATGGTGGCTTAGTCCAGAAGGCAGAGAGAAACGGCCATGGAAGCCCAGGAAGCTGAGAGATGATTCTGGGCTGCGGGAGCCCTGACCAAGCCTGGCACAAGCCTGGCGGCTGAGAGGGACGTGGCTGGGTCTGAGATTGCAGAAGTGGCCACACACCAGGAGACGTCCTCGTCGGTCACAGCAGGGCTTTCCAGCTGGGTCCCTGGCTGTGCGCTGGGAGGTCGGTCAGGCAAAGGAGCCATCAGGCCGCTGGAGAGAGCAGGGCCGGCCTCTGGCCAGGCAGGCTGACCCAAACTCTGCCGAATGACCTGTCCGGCCCAGGGCAGCCCTCTCCAGCTTCTC